CACTAGACCAGGTTGCTCCAAGCCTCATCCAGCCTGGCCTTGGACACTTCCAGGGATGAGGCATCCACAGCTTCTCGGGGCAACCTGTCCCTGTGCCTCCCCACCCTCTGCGGGAAGAATTTCTTCCCGATATCCAATCTAACCCTCCCCACTTTCAGTTTAAACCCGTTACCCCTTGTCCTGTCACTACAGGCCCTTGTAAAAAGTCCCCCCCAGCTTCCTTGTAGCCCCTTCAGGCACGGGAAGGTGCTATAAGGTCTCCCCGGAGCCTTCCCTTCTCCAGGCTGAACACCCCCAACTCTCCCAGCCTGTCCCCATGGCAGAGGGGCTCCAGCCCTCGGAGCATCTCCGTGGCCTCCTCTGGACTCGCTCCAACCAGTCCATATCCTTCTGATGTTGGTGCCCCCACAGCTGGACGCAGCACTCCAGGTGGGGTCTCAGGAGCAGTACCACATGTCAGTATTTGTGCAGATACAAATCCCAAATCCCCACATTTACGGAATGAATTTATCCTTCTGGTTGCTTTCAGCTCAGGGAAGGGCTGACGGCTGCCCCAGCGCCTTTGACCTGGGCCACCTCATTAAAAACTACCAAGGAGGAGCTGGGGCTGGTCAGGGAGGGAAGCAGCGGTGTCTGAGGTTGCTCTCCTGAACAGCTGCAGCGTGCAGCAACAGGCGAGAACTGAGCAGCTAAAACACTTCCTTAACACAACCAGCAGAGATTTCAGACTCCTCTCACTCTGCCATTGGCTGTTCAGTCCGACGCAGATGGCAGAACCTCATCCTGTACACCCGGTGTGGAGCCAACCACGGCTAGCACCAGAACAAATTCAGAGAGGAGAAATGAAGTGGCTAATTAAGAGACACCCACGTCTGGACCGCTGTAAAGAAAACCCCAGCGCTGAGAAACTGGACAGAATCCAGCGTGAGGCCACTGCGGAGCCTGGAGCGCAGCCGAGGAAGCTGGGTTGGTTCAGCTTGGAGAAACGATGCTGAAGGTGAGATTTAACAGCTGTCTGGGACTACCCACAGCGGGACTGGGGTTGGAGCCACATTTTCTTCGTGGGACACAGCAGGAGGACCAGAGGCAAAAGGCATCATGCAGCGAGCGAATTCTTATTAGATGCCAGGAAAACTTGCACGTGCGCTCCCTCCCAGACCCCCGGCAGCCGCCACAGGTTGCCAGAGACTGGGGCATCTCCGCTCCTGGGAGGTGTCCAGAGGCCCCCAAAAACCCGATGCGGCTTTGGGGTTAGCTGCGCTCTGGGGCAGGGGGTCGGGCTGGGTGAGCCAGATGTCAAAACCGTAGTGGAAGGAAGAGCAGAGGATGAGGTTACACGTGGAGCTGCTTTTCCCCCTGTACTCCCTAAACCTCTACTTGCAGCTACTTGTAGAGCCAGCTGCCAAATCCATAACCCGTTCAGCATCCTTTGGCAAGGAATTCCGCTGGTCAGCTACAGAAACACCCCTCCTTTGGCTTGCTTATCACCTGCTCCCTGCCTCATTTGTATTAAAATCCGGTTGTTGCCAAGAAAGCAAAATCACTGACTGATTCCTACGCACCTCCTCCAACCTGCTCCCGATACAGACCCGCGGCATCCGTATCCTTCCTCAGCCCTTTGCCAGGCTGGAGGCTCCAACCCTACGTAGGTGTTTGGGAGATATGGAGCAGGAGTGACACAGGACCACAGAGTTCGAGGTTGGACACGGACATCTGTGTGTATATATACACACACACACACACACAGAGTGATGATTTCTGCTATTTGTTCACAACCAAGCACCAAGCGAACACTGCAAGGACTTACACGGGATCACAGTCTGACTCCAGAGGGATGACGATCAGTTCATCGTTTCATATGTGAATGCTGAATTATTTTTCTCTGTGAACACTGTTTCACACACGCCTACGTCGGTATTTCACCTGCTGTTCTTTTGCCCACTCCTTCACTCTCACAAGGTCCTTCTGCAACTAATCACCACCAGCTCCCACCCCGTTATCCTGAATAACCTTGTACCATCAGCCAATTTCCTCACCTCACCGTACAAGCTCTGTTTCCAGGTCATTTTGAGAATACGCTGAACAGTGGATATTTCAGGTAAGGCCCACTGACGACTTCCCTGTCCTGTTAGAAATGGATGTTTATCCCCACCTTCCGTTTCCTATTTTCACTAGGGCAACGGCTTTAAATTGAAAGCGGGGAGGTTTAGATTGGATATCAGGAAGGAATTCTTCCCAGAGAGGGTGGAGAGGCACTGGGACAGGTTGCCCAGAGAAGCTGTGGATGCCCCATCCCTGGAAGTGTCCAAGGCCAGGCTGGATGAGGCTTGGAGCAACCTGGTCTAGTGGAAGGTGTCCCTGCCCATGGCAGGGGGGTTGGAACTGGGTGGTCTTTAACATCCCTTCCAACCCAAACCATCCTGTGATCCTATGAAAAACCATCTTCTTCTTTCTTACGCCATGACTTTAGCATTTTTTCAGAAAAAAACACCATTTTTTTCAGAAATCCAAGGAAAGTGTATCAGCCAGACCTGCCTTATCCACATCCTTGCAAAGTCCCTCAAAAGTCTCTAGTTATACAAGGCAGGATTCGCCTTTACAAAACCAGATGTTGACTCTTGAACATCCCACTCGCTGCTTTCCGTTAGGTTGTCTGCCCTCTTGCCCAGGCACCCAGCTTCATTGTCCTGTGCTTCCCACACATTTGGGGGAATCGCATTTGGAGCCCTTTTAGAGACTCGGCATTGCGTTTGCTACTTCCAATTCTCAGTACTGGGATGACTTTAGGGAGGAGGTCTTGCGGTTTCGCACAGGATTGCATCGCAGTTCAGTTGTTAGAGCAGAGCGAAGGCCGCCTGGGTGTGGGGAACAGACAGGGGTACCATCTTCCTCTGGCTTTCCTAAGCCAGATGCTACGTGCCAGGCCACAGGACGCCAGGACAGCGCTGGACCACCGTGGCTGCCCAGATCCTTACTACAGAGCAGTGCCAGTATGAATCCCGTTTCCACACACCCCGCCACTGCAGCCCCCAGAGCAGAGCACCCGTTTGGGCCAAGCGTGAAGGTTTTAGGTCCTGCTGTGCCGTACAGGGCTAGAAAGACTGTAGCGAATCGAGAAACAGTGAGGATTGAAAAGGCCAGGCACCCAACCTCCCTCCGTACAGGAGCATTCAGAGATGCTGCAGCTGTGGGGCTGGCAGACTGACCCACTGGGCATCCCAAACCCTGCCGGCTCTTTGGCACAGCGAGGAGGAGTACGGTAAAAACAATACCAATCTAAACCCCTGCAAACTCCAGTCCTCCAGCTATCCTGGAGCTCCCATTGGAAGGGTGGGGTTTTTTTCCCCTTCTGTGGCCAATTCCTACTGCCTGTATTTTTATTTTTCTCGTTTTCTGCCCCTAACCAGCATTCACAGCACTCACCCACAGGATGGCATCAGGATCTTGACCCTCAGATCCCCACTGACGGGGGACTGGCAGCAGCTGGCGGAGGAAGAGCCACAGCCCTTCACCAGGGCTCCCACTAAAGAAAATAAAGCAACATTGGAATTGTCAAGACAGTATCTTGAGGCATATTTGGGATAGAGATCAAAAACCTTGACAGAGGAGGGGTGGGCTCGCACCCTCCCGGTTGGGTTGGGTGCTCACGGCGGGGGGACGGCGGTGAGTGCCACGGCCATGGAGGAGCAGTCTTGGGAGGGCGGGGTGCCGCGGCACTTCCCGTGACTCACCTGCGTCTGATCCGCACAGGCACGGTCCCGAACTCCGCCTGTTTGGCGGCAGACTGCGAAGAAGGTAGCTCCAGGTCAGGCAAACCGCAGGCCGCAAGCAGAAAGCTTCATTTTAATCGTTTGCAAAGCACTTCCTGGGCTGTAGTTAATGAATAATTAGAGGGGTGGGGGAAGGCCAAGGCCAGGCTGGGAGAGGTAGATGGAGACGGAAGGGACCGACTGCTTTTCCTGCCTCCCATCCACTAAGCTCACGCCCTTGCTGGCTACATTCCTGCCTGGTTTGTGACTGAACAGCACGGAAGGCAAAACCGGACGCGGCTCGCACACCTGGCTCACAGCTCCCTGCTCTCCCAGGCTGGGCTTTCTTCACCCCCGGCCCTGCCACCCCGGCCCCCATCGCCCTCCTGAAAGACCCCAAGTGCTTCCAAGGACACACCGGCTGACAGGGAAGGAGTCTGCAAGCAGACATATTTGATGCCCCTTCCTTCGAATCGAGTTGGAAACGCAAAGCGTTGCGCTGGAGCGAGGCTGCTCTGCTAGGTTTGCCTCTCTTCAGTCCCGAGGTACAACCGTATGTTGTTTGTGCTGTTCTAATCCCAAGCGGCAGCCAAACGGGGCGAGCCCAGCCCTCCCGCACCGCGCCCATCCCCACTGCATCTTCCTGCGGCCTTTTCCCATTAGGGCTAACCTGTTTGATTACACGTTCAGCCAGAAAACCACACAGGCACCGGCGGTAGGAGTGAGCGAGCTGCACCGGCCCTGCTGCAGAGAGGGGTGTCTCAGCACCACCTGAACAGCACGACGCGGTGCTCAGGGACATGTTACAGAGCGTGTTTCGAACAGCAGAGACGTCAATACGTGCTCTTAGACGGGGCTGAACACCCCTGAAGCGTTAAGGAAGAAGTCACTTGATGTCCTAGGGCTTCACACTAAGGGTTAGCATGAGCAACTTCTGCAGGACGTGGTACATCATGCCATCACGCTCGGAACATGAACACGGGTTTCACCAAGGCATGAGGCGCACGTTGGCATGACTGCCCCTGCGCCAGGGCGAAGCGCCCGTGCCCGAGGAGCAGCACTGAGCTCACGCTCACTCACACAGCAAGGGCCTTTTCAAGACATCTTTTATTCACAATCACGCAAGCGAGCACAAAGCATCCCGCTCCTCTCAGGTCAGCATCATCCTTGCTCGACCGCTCCACTCCCGGGGCCAACGGGACCCGCACCTTGGAAGCGAAGGCACCGGGTACCCTCGAAAGGTGCCCGGGCTCAGGAAGTCGCCACTCCGCCAGTCCCGGCCCCGTGCGGCGGCAGCGTCATGGGCGGCAGGAACATGGCCTTCAGCTTGCCCGACATGCTGGCGATCTC